CAGAGCGGTGTGTGCCCACATCCTGCTGCCTGGGCACCACGGCAGCATCAGGGTGCTGAGCAGGGGGAGCAGCATGGGGCCGCCAGGATGAGGCCTGTGGAGAGGGAGTGGGAGCCAGGGAGCTGGGAATGGACCTATTCGGTGTCCCTGTGTCCCTGCCCACTGCCAGGGTGATTGGAACGTGCAGCACCCCACGTACCAGGGCAAGAAACTGGCCCTGCGTGCTCAGCATGGGCACCCCAAGCCCTGCCAGGCCAGCTGCCAGCTGGCACCCCTCAGGCCATCTCCCCTTCGCCCCACAGACGGGCAGAGCAGGGGGGCCCCGTCTCCCCGGCCCCAGCTCTTTGCGTGGCTGGGACAGTGCGAAGCCTCATGCTGCTGTGTCTCTGTGCCGCCCCAGCCTCAGGTGAGACCTGACCCACACACACCGCACACCGTGCCACCAGCTCGGCCTCGCAGGTGAGCCAGCCCGGGTGATGCTGGCATCAATCCCAGGCAAGCTCAAAACTTGGGACAGCCGCAGCAAGGGGGCATCAGAGGGAAGAGGGGGGCAGTGGGAGAGCGTAGGGCCAGGCTCACCCAGCGACGTGCCCCGTTTTCCTGCAGCCTGTGGGATCCAAGGCCAGCCCATCGCCCTGGCGATCAGCACAGGAGTTTGTGGCCACAGAACAGTTCCCATGGGTGGTGGCACTGCAGGACACACAGCACAACTTCCTGGCCTTCGGCTCCATCCTGAACAAGTGCTGGATCCTCAGTGCCACATCCAGCCTGTCTATCCTGCGAGGGGCCCTGCGGCAGCCCGGGCCAGGCTTGGGAATCAGCAGGGAACACCACCACCTCCCAGTGCTCAGGAGGGTCTTGTCGCTGCCCAGCAGCCAGGGGAGCACACTTCAGTCAAAGCAGTGGCAGGCAGATTGCCCCAGGCTTTTCCTTGCACCCATCCCCCTCCATCCACCCCCTGCAGGCAGCATGTACTGGCCTTGGTTAGGCTGAGTGTCATGAAGAGGGGATGGGAGGACCAGCCCCAGTATTTGATCAGCTCTGTCATCCCCCACAAGGACTTTGACGAGGTGACACTCTACAACAACATCGCTCTGCTCAGGACAGCCACCCCGCTGCAGTTCAGCAGCATCATTCAGCCCATCTGCTTCCCACACGGGACCCTCTCTGCCTCAGACCTCATGAACTGCTGGGTCTTGGGCTGGGTCCATCCCACTGCAGGTAACCCTCAGCTCCAGTGGCAAAGAGAGACCTGCCTCCCCGCTCCCTCCTGCCAACAGCCCCAATGGCAGGAAGGGGAACAGGGCTCATCCTGGGAGGAAGAAGCACCCTCCCTGGTTTTTGGAGGCCAGGGGCTGCCCAGAGCCACAGGCTCACGGTGGTCCCTCAGCCAGGCAGGGTAAAGTGCTGCAGCACCTTCCTGAGAATTCTCTCTGTGGTGGACACGGGTCCCTGCCCGCTGAAAAGGATCACTGCAACCGCGGGCTGCAGCCACAGGGATGCTGACAAAGTGGCAGGCTGTTTGGTAAGGGACACAGAGCGCCAACCCAGACCAGGCAGACTTGTAGCCAAACCGCCTCTTCCCCATTCTGCTCATCTCCAACTCCAGGCTGGGAAAGCAGCCAAAACACTTGTTAAGCGTCTCCTGCTCAGTCCTTACAGGAAAAGATCCCTTCTGCACAGCTTGCAAATAGCAGGCACGGGAGATTGTCTGCATGTGGGACACCCGTCTCTGCACAAGCTGCAGGATGACCATCTCCCTGCAGGCCTGTGGGCACTGCTCTGGTCCCTGGACCTCTCCCGCTGCTGGGGCCTCCAAGGGCCTTTGATGTGGCCAGAGTCAAAGATGCTCAGGAGGCAAAACTCAGAGAGGTTCTTTGTGGTACATACCAAAGGATCAGGTGTGAGGCTGGGCTGATGGAGGCACGGGCAGCCACAGGGAGCAGTGACAGTCACTCTGTCTGGGGCACACAGGGATATCATCAGCCCAAAGGCAGCCAGCCCCCTGAACCAGTGGTGCTTTGTTGCCAGTGACGGTAAGGGACTGAACTGCTGCAATCTGCCCTCCTCTAACCCTGGTGAAGTCCACAGCCACAGAGAGCGATGGCAGGAGGAACACTGCTGAGATACAACCCTGCCTTTTTTGTCTCTCAAAAGGGTGATGCTGGCAACCCTGTTATGTGCCAGATTAGAGGGACTCAGAGATGGGTCCTGAAAGGCATTCTCAGTGAGGGTGGCACGAGATGCTACGGACCGTTCCTGTGCACCACAGTGTCCTACTACAGCGACTGGATCTTGGCCACCAGTGAGAGGACAGGACCTCCAGCATTCCCCACGCTAGTCAGGGCATGAGCTGATCTGCAGGCTCCACTAAAAGACTGGGAAGAGGCTTCCAGACCAGCAGTGAGGATATTTCAGGAAGTTGGTTTCAACTCCAAGAAGGGAAAGACAGATCTGAACTCATCTGAGGCTAGGCCATCTGAGATGATTTATAACTCCTACAGTGGGAAAATGCTTCCCATCTCCAAGGGACACTTACACTTGCCCCAGGTGCTTGGGCAAGGGGTAGCTGCTGCCTTCTTGCTGTTTCATTTCTTCAGGTAAATGAAGTATCCGTTTATGATCGGAGAGCCTGCTTGGTTCATGCGTGCCATGTTGAAATGATTTGCCCTACATGCTCACATGGCTCTGCTCTCTTCTATTGTCAGTGCACACTCAGAGGTGCTGAACTCCCACGTCTCCCACGGAATCCCCTCTGGTCCCTCCTGCATTAAGTGATCACCAGGGCTTGCCCAGAGATAAAGGACAGTTCCTGTGAACGTGTCAGATTTGATCACCAGAGAGAGGTGATCAATTGATCAATTTGATCACTGCTGGTGGTGATGAAGGGAGAGGGGAGCACCCAGCACAGAGCTGGCTGATATAGCAGGGCCTGTGGAGGGCCCAGGCAGCAGAGCCTGCTGGAAGCCAGGCCATGCTGGGACAGACCAAAGAGATGACCTCACAACAGAGCCATGGGCTTCTTTATCATTTCATGTAGAAGCGCTTTCATCTCACTGCAGTTTGCAGGGTGCCACATTTATCCACTTGACAGCAAACTTCCCAAGGGCTGGCTCCTTTTGCAGCTTCCACTGCCCACTTTGCAGCAGCAAAGCCTACTGCTGGTTATCAGACATCTTGACCTGGTTCCATGTTCTGCGGTAGCTTTGCAAGCACATCTGCAAGAGGAGAAAGGAAAAGGCCTTAGTATGTTCAGACAGCAGTGATATGTTGTGGAGAAAGCAGCAAGGCTGGAATCTAGCCCAGCCTGAGCTGCTTGCTGTATTGCTTGCCCCTTCATCCCTCCCTGCTCCCAGGTGAGAGCAGTGCTTGCTGTGGCATGCTGAGAGCTCCTGTAGGTCTATACCAGCTTTGGTTTCTCCCCTGAATGCCACAGCAAGTCTGGAGACCCACAAAACAGCACTATATAGAAACCTACAGGCCCTTGCATGGCAGCAGGCATGTTGGACATGCCCTGCCACAGAAGGGCCGGCAAAGAGAATAGGTTCATAGCTTCACTCTTATCCCAGGGACAACTACAGGTTCATTCTTTAGCCACTTGAGCCCTCGCTGCTCTCCACCTCCCAGAGGCTGGCAGGACTATGGACACTGCTGCATAGACAGCAAACAAGCCAGAGCCTGGGTCTCACAGTCAAGGGGAGCAGCTGGATGAGAAAGGATCTGCTTGCACAAAGACAAGCCTGCAGGCAGGCTGCCCACCAGCTCTGGGGTAGCCACAGCCAGACTGCTATTTCTGAACTCACAGCACTGGTGCTGATAGGTCAAGCCCAAATCCACACAGTTCTGACCTCTGAGAAAGGCTGGACCACATAAGCCCTGTCCATTGCAGATTGGGGTGCTGGGGGGCTGGACAGGCATAAGCCCAGAGCCCTCCCTGTCCCAGCCACAGATGAGCCCATCTCCGCTTGAGGATGAGCACGGTGTCAAGGTATGGGAGGACACTATCTGTCCCATCTGACCCAGCCACTTTGCTCCCCACACTGCTGTGCACACAGACATCCTGCACAGGACAGGGCTACAGACATGTTCTGCTACCTCTAGGCTTTGCCTATTCTCCTCTGTCTTATCTCTCCATCTCCTCCCAGGCTGCAGGAGTTGGGGCAGGAGGAGAGTCAAAGATATTCTTGCCACTTTGCCGTGAACTCATGTTTGGATCTTGGCTAGCCTTTCCTTAACAGGGAAGAGTCAAGATACAAGTGAGTAAGAAATGTTTGAGATCATCAAAGAGGACTACAAACACTGGGGAGCCATCAAGGTTGCAGGAAAAGTCCGGTGCAGGTTACACATGCAGAGCTGGAAACCTATCAGGCTGCCATACATCCCCTCCTCCTTACACACATGGCAGGTGTCAGTAGAGCAACAGCCCGATGGTGCTTCCTGCCAAATTACAAGCTGTGTCCTTGCCTTGGCTCCCCCTCTGAGCTCAGTCATTAAAATTCAGCCTCCATCCTCAGGGTAGGAAGCGATTGCTGCTCCGTAAACAGGAAGAGCCTCCGGCTCAGGCAGGCACCGATGAAATTGCCATGCAAGAACTCTCACATGGCTTCCTGGTGGGTCAGGAGCAAGCACACCGGTCCCCAGGGTGGCTGCAGGTGTGCAGGCACAGATGTGGCTCCACTGGCACCCAGTACCCAGCTGGCATGTGTCTGGCTCCTGCACACCCAGCCTGGTCTCAGTCACCTCAGCAACAGCCACCTTCCTCTCCCAAGCCTTGAGGCTGTTCTCAAGGTCGGTAACAGCCATCTTCTTCTGCACGTAACCCAGCACAGGAAGGACACCATAGTCCGAGAGCTGCTTCCGCAGCCGCCAATTCACACTCTCAGCTTTGGCTCATTGCTGCTGGAGGAAAAGGCACAGAGGGTGTGGAGACCCCAGGGAAATGTCCCTCTGCCAGCTGGTGGCCAGTCCTCCAGGGAAGCAGGCAGGCAGGATAAATTAAACCCCCAGCACTGGAGGGGAGTAGTGGAATGCATCCACCAGTACCTTCATCCTTGCCAGGCAGCATTGCTAGGGAGCCCCTTGAACCTGCTTCCCAAAGCTGTGGTGTCACCAGACTGGTATGACAGCAGTGCCACTTCTCCCAGGGGAGGACATTGCTGATGAAAAGTTCAAGTGAAAAAAAGAATTTCAAGAAGCCAGTGGCAGGTCCCTGAGGAGCCAGGGCCAAAATGCACAACATGGCCTGTTCTGCAAACCTCTCCGTGCTCACTGGCACTGGCAGAAGCCTCGGGACTTGCTCGGACCCAGAAAGGCACTCAGGTATCCAGCTCACTGCCAGGCCTCGAATGGGCATCGGTACCCAATCCACCACAAAAAGTACCTCAAAAGAGTCTTTCCAAGTAAAGTCTCAGGGCATCCTAAATCACTGTCTTACCTCCTCCATCAGAGCAGCTTCTCTTTCAATTTTCTCCAGCAGCTCCTTCCTCTGGGAGATCTCTTTCATCAGAGACGTGGATGTTGCCATGGCGTCCTGCAGCTTCCTCTGGGACATGGGATCAGGACAGCATCAGTGGGTGCAGCAGCAGCTCCCAGCCACCTGCAAAGCCACCCCTCTACTCTTCCACCTGAGTCTCAGCTCAGCTCTACTCCCGAGGGAGCTTTGCAGCACTGCTCATCCCATGCAGAAGGCAGCGTCATGCCCTGGTCACGCAGCTGCTGCTTTGTTCTGTCCTCTGTGTCACACTGCAGCACAGCCCACGGCACAGCAGCCGAGGTTTAGGACTGACCCAGACAGAATGGCTGCTCAGAAAGAAGCAAATACACGCACGTTTCACTGGTAAGAGCTGAGACTCAGAGCGACAACAGCAGCTTGTGACGTCTTTTCAAATGTCACAGGTTATGTAAAAAATGTATTTTTCTGTGCAAGTCAGCACCAAAGCTCTTTCCTACTGGAATTTTTCCCTGGGGTATAAAATAACCATGCTGCAAAGCATGAACCCCATCGTCAGGCTGCGGCCAAACATGAAGGAGAGCATCACTGCTTTTGGTGTGTTGGGCAAACCTCCCAACTGAACTGCTAAGTCAGTGGGATGGCAGAGAGGCACTCAGCATCCTCTGACTGAGAAAGGGAAGGATGCATGAGCTCATGTGTGACCCTCAGAAAGAAAAGAAAGGAAAAATGGAGGTGCTGGGAGGCTCACTCACCTTATAGAAGTTGAGGGCTTGGGCAGTCTTCTCTGAGGTCAGTTTTAGCTGCAGCAGCTCTTGGTTCTTCTCATCAATCTTCTGGTACTGGTCATTTCTAACCTGCAGCTGCTGCAAACGGACCTCACAGGGTGTCTCTCCCATCTGCTCCTTCTGCAAACCCCAAGGAAGCAGAGTTGTAGGTTGCGGACCAAAGCTGCATTCCAAGTAGAGGGCTTTGTTCTGTGGGGAAAGCAGACCTAAAGAACAGGGTCTTCAGCTTGGCTGCAAAGCTGGGGCTTGGGGAAAAACACGAGACAGTGTGCCACTGAGCCTGTGCTCTCTGTCCTAGCTTAGAGGGCCCAAGCAGTGCAGACAGGTCCCTCTCTGGCAAGGCTCCTGCCATGCCAGCAGCAGCCAGTCCCCAGGGAACTGCTCTGATCCACCATGCATCTTTCCCAGGGCACAAAGGGCACAAAGAGATCTGCCAGCTTCCACTCTGCGAGACTTCTGGTCTCAGCCTATGCACACAGAAATGTGCCAGGTCTGAACCTGGGCAGATGACAGTGCCCTTTGACAAAGGCAGCAAGCTCGGGAGCAAAGCAGGAAGGGGAGGAGGAGGAGGAGGGCCATGCATTTCTACACAGAGCACGTCCTGCATCTGTACTCCTTTCATTCTTCAAGAGGCCATCTAGTCCCTACTTCTTCTGAACTGCTGCATGCACCTGCCTGAGCTGCTGCTGCAGCTTCTTCTTGTAACTCTTGAGCAAAGAGTTTTCTAAGCACAACGTCTCTCTCAGCAGATCCTAAAGAAAGACAGCAGATTATAAGGGACCAGCAGAGCCTAGGAGGAGAAAGAGCACCCAGACCCCACTCCTTATGATGTGGTTCCTGTTCAGCTCATCCACACTGCAGACTTCACTTCTGACTTAGAAAGGAGCCCAGCAAGAAATATTGCTGAGCATCACTCTGCGCCAAACATGGTAGCATGGCCGTGCACTTCCCCAGGCTCCACTAAGGGCCTTGTGTCATCTGTGTTCACAGCTGTGCTGCCTGGTGAGCACCTGGGCTAGTCACCAGCTGACAAGTGCGACAAGGGCTGTCCAAAGACACCTGCTAAGACAGCCTGAAAACGTGATGTAGGCCACACAGGAGTATGGGAACTAGGATTTTCCCTAATCAACATATTTGTCAGATGACAGACTAGCCTCAAAATTTGCCCTGATGCACTGGCCCTCTGGCAATTCTTCTCCTCCATGTATCTCAGCAACTTCTCAGAAGCTATGATACTGCCTTTCTTGCTGGAGATGGTGCTGATGATGTCTTTCTCAAAGTCACTGATGGCTTTCTTAACATCAGTCCACCAAACATCTGCTTCTTCTATGACTGCCTGTCGAAATAAAGTCACGTGACAGTCAAGAGGTGGTAACTTCCCTCATTCAAACAGCTTTGGGAACAGAGAACACCAGAAAGGATCAGGCATGCTCTCTGCTGGCATTACTAGTGTTTCTCATGTGGGAGCTCTGAGTTTCACCCCAACAGCTCGGGGCACATGGTGCAGGCTCACACAGCATTGCTACTTCACTAAGAACCGGGAAAAAAGTCTCTCATGTGCCTGAGCTTCAGTCACTCCATCCTGACCAACAAGCATTGCTAGTCTGACTAAGCCAACACAAGACAAAAAATTACCAGCTTTGTTTACTGCATATGCCTTGTGGCCACACGAAAGGGACAGGCTGCCTGCTTCACCTCTCCTGGCCACTGCAGGCAGCAGCAGTGGTCTGAACCAAATGCAGAGGTCTCTGCTTCCCCAAAAGCTCCCGAGCATCTTGGCCAGGAAGAGGTCTCAGCAGCCAGCACAGA